GCGAAAAATAAAATATTAAAATGTAAACATCTCTCTCTCTCTTTCCCTCTAACAAATATTTTTGCAATTTATATCGTTAGGTATTTTCAATTTAATTTACATTTATTTTATATTGAGAACTGTTTGAAAATCAATATTTGTCGAAATATGCGAATAGACAAGATTGTTATTGTATATTTTATACAATATATCGGAATAAAATATTTTCAAGAGAATATATGTCGGCAATAAAAATTTGAACGTTTGTAAAATATTTTAAAAATTTCTATTAGTGATCAAATAGAGAGAGAGATGATACGCGCGATAGTTCAGTGAATCAATCGGAATACCGTTTAATTAAATGCATTTATGTTTAATTGCGTTTGATTAATCGAATTAATATTACAATCTAAAATTGTCCGAAAAATATCAGTTAAATTGAATCAAAAACACTGATTGCCTATTACCGTGCATTATAATGTTATACCGTGCAGTATAATTAAAACTTCATAGATTCTCTCATTACTAATCAATTTTAGTTACGCTCAGTTTAATTCTTTATTCATCAAAATACAGCTTTAGAGAGCATATAGGTACCTAATTAATATGCTGTTGCAGTCTTATACATAAATATATGAAACTAAAGAATTCATAAATATTTATGACACACTAGAGACATGCAGAAATTCTCATCCTTCGCGACGCAACGAAATTTTTCTGATTCACACTGTGCGACGAATGCAATTCACTTTGCAAGCTTAACAAAGTGTATATTACGAGCAGGGATTCTCGATGTAATATTACATACTTATTCTTATCTATGTCATAAAGCGTTGTGACTTACTTTGAACACGAAGAAATCATAATTGCATCGTGCCTGCAAAATGACGGGAAAAATGATTGGGAAAAAACACATGGAAGCAGCGCATGACCTGATTTCGAATAAGCATCAACCATTTAAATAAAACCGATCAGCGAGAATGATAAATTGATGATGCTTAATAAATTATGTCAATCAGCGTTGTTGCGTATAACCTCGCGGAAAAGTGTTTAATTTTTATGGATTGCAATTAGTCGTCAAATGACATCGCGTATACGATCGTGTTCTCATTAAAAGCGTGCTTTAATTTATCGATGACATTGCTCGGCGTGAAAAACGGAGCGCTAACGGAATCGGTATTTTACTGCTTTACTCCGGAATCGTGCGCACGTACTTCTCTCGAAATAGTAGTACAGAATTAACCACGGACAACCCCACACACCAGGAAGTCATATTTCAGTACCCGATGCAGTTCTGCGGCGATCAAATTTTTCCGCGCACGTCCTATGAACTCCCTACAGTTGGTGTGTTTTGACGGAAATTCAAGCGATTTGTTGAGAGTACACAAATAACCTTCGTGCTCTGCAAATGCTTTTCACGTTTACGAATAATGATCAGAGAGAACTGAATTTTAAGAATATATCTATAAATTCTTATAAGTATATCTTGATGTTTTGCATATATTAATACATAAGTAATATATTATTATTTCTCTACTCGTATTAATATTTGTAATAAATAATTATAACATGCGATAGATAAATAAAATTAATAACGGTTGAATAGGAATTTCTGTTAAACCATTAGCGTAAATAAATCTTGAAAAATTTAAGAACGTCAGGTATTTGTGGAGTATCGATAATAATGATCTCAATAGCCAACGATATATATTATATTAAAGATTCGAAATAAATTAAAGTGCATGAGCGTAAGTGATATATCAGCTGTACTGATTCCGAGATTTTCAAGATAGGAGAGAGAAACGGTACTAGAGAAAAGATCGATTCGCGAAGAGCGATTTTATTACAAGCATCCTCTGCATCTCTCTAAAAATACCGAGTTAACTTCACACAATATCGAAAGAACTTTCGAACTCTACTTTCAAACTGAAATTAATATTAACAGCCATGTTATTGCCTCTGATACTGTATTATGTAATCAGCATTATAACATGAAAATTTTTAAATTCGCGTTTATCTTGAATTATGAAAGTATTAACAGTTACGAAATAATATAATTGATTTCATTAAATAATATAATTAAAATGATAAATTGAAGAGATCGCAAGGCAAGACAAACACAAGAAACGGTAAGAAAATGGTAAATCTTCCTTTCGTTTTCTTCGAATGTCAGACGTCAATCCAATTAAATGACGAATGTTTGAACTATCGTGATTTCCTACATAAACATTGTACAATCACGCGATGGTTTCCTTGAATTATTTGGCTTCAAGATCAACAATCTCCATTTGATAGCATGGATGCCGAGAATTTACTCATCTTTGGTGAATTCGATATGATAATCAAACAACACGTTCAACAAACTCTACATATTGCATTTGTGGTTCGATGCTGATGCGTCTGCATTTTGATCTTCGCATATTTGACACAGCTATTCCATCAGATATACAAAAGATGTGCCTTCAGACTATTTTCAGAAAGTTCTAAGAAATGAAAAATTGAATGTTTGCGCGGTGAAATAGATTCCCTTCTCGAAGAAATAAGAGAACCATCCATTAACTCGTATTTCTACTGTCACGTAGCGGGAGAAACTCTCTTAGAATACTAACTTTGTTTATAATATATTTATTATATCATAGTATATTATTATTGTGGGTGGGAGCCCCACATTATCCCTGAGGCCGACCCCAGGAGCATGCGGTATACGTAAATTCCCCTCGACTTCCATCTTAGGGAGGCTGTATGTCTTAGGCATTTTCTCCTCCTACGTAAATTAACGTATCTTTCTTTTTTTCGTAAATTATTCGTGAATTATTCAATTAATTATTTAAAAAATTGAAGATAAAGTTTTATTTTTATTCTAAGTCTCGATTTTTTTCTCAAGCCTCAGGCTGAGGATGATAAAGGATTCTGTTCATAAAAATCAGATTTCAAAAATTGGAGATATTGAAAAATGAAGAGTTCAATAAATTGCCAGAGGCATGGATGGCAGTTTCGATCTACTTCAGCTGCACTGTAAAAATGACGGAACGCGGAATGATGGGACCGTGCGAATCACGTTGACAGACCGATTGACGTCATTCCTTACCGAAACGCTAACATCTGAGAAATTGCATTGCGCTCGGGTCGTCGATCATTGCGATCGGCAATCTGACCTAACGCGTCCGTCCACCTTTGGAGAGGCAGAATGCTTTGGCACAAAGCACTGTTCCAAAGGAACCGCCGAATTCAACGTGTCGTAACCAGTAGGGTGTTCTCTGCTTTCTCTGTCCTGTCAAAGGACGAAACTTGTCGTATCCGATTACACTAGTCTGATTGTCCATTGATTGTCCTTTGATCCTTTGATCACACTATCAAATATTCAAAAATAATATTGCGAAGAAAATAAAAACACAGCTTTTGTAGCATTTATTCGTGTTTAAGACAGAATTTATAAAACATGAAGTTATAATCTAGATCAAAATCCTCTTTGCATCTGTGCGTTGTCATAAATCATGTTATCGTTCTAAATTAAATTTAATTACAGCCAGAGTGCTCGAATAATAATGTATCATTTAAAATGAACGTATAAAGTTCATCGTGCATTCTGGCGCTATGCGCGTACCCCCCCCCCCCCCCACACATACACACACATGTAAAATTATTTTAAAAATATTCATTTGAAGGTAATGGATCTCGTAATGATAACGAGATAATGACAGGTGTATAAAACAGAGTATCTGAACGGTGATCTAAATACCTATATTTATTTCGATCGAGCTTTACCGTGTTCGCAATTTTCGATATTTTGTGCGTAATGAAACGCATTAGCAACGTAAATTGCAAGCCGCGCGTAAAGTGCATATCGCGCGCACCCCTTCTCTCTCTCTCTCTCTCTCTCTCTCTCTTTCTTCCTGGGTATAGAGGGCAAAATCGATGGCTGTTAATATTCAGCGCATCGTCAACTTGCCTCGATCAAACTTCTCGTAAGCGAAGGGGTTAAACGCACCTGCGCTATTTGACGATTAATCAATGTCATTCCAACTTTATTTCAACGTAGAAATACTTAATTTTCCGTAGGATTATAGCATAGCTAGTCGAGCACACTTTCCATGGCATCTGAAGAAAATTTACTTCACGGTTGGATGACCGATAGTTCTTTCGATAGAGCTCAAGTTAAAATTCTCTGCATGAAATAATATTCTACAGTAAAAAGTAATCGCGGTAAAATGAAGATTATCATTAATTTGGTTTTTTGTTATGACCATAATTATTAATCAGTTATTACTGTCACTTTTTCTTACAAGATAATCTTTATTAAAAGAATTTTGCTGTTTATAAGAAAATATATCTTTGTAATCGAAAGCATAGAGCATTTTTAATTAATTAAATATATTTTATCATAATTATTATACGTAAATAAAGAATGCTCTCAAAATAAAGAAAAACTTAAAATTTTGATTTCTGAATTAAGTATAATAAATTACATGATTATTATATGTATATTATAATGAAAATTTTAATCGATCCCCGTAGAGTTACAATTCTCATCCATCACTACCCTTCTCCTCTCACTTAACCATTTGGACCAACGGCTTAACATCTCTTTCCGAAAGACGGAGCCCAGTTTGCTCCGCACAAGAGTCTATCTTGCACGGGGGGCGCAGCTTTCGGAAAATAAATTCCATGTTCACATGCTCGAACCTGGTTCTTCAGATTACGAGTCCGGACCTCTACCCACTAGACCACACTGCCGCCTACATAATTATAATTATTAATAAAATATTCTGAAAATTTATTGTGTCTTTTAATTTGTGGACATTATTTGTTTAAATCTCTGAATTTAAGATACTTGGCGTATTTTGAAGCAAATTTATATTTCTTATTAACGATAAATCTTTTTAAAAACAATATAAAATATTTGTTATATAACGAGAGTAAAATAAGCCTGCCATTCCTCTATCAATTTCCTACTTCCCTCCTTTTATCATTGATTTTGTATTGTATTTCATGAGATAAAAACTTTTGTTTTTATTTTCCAGAAGCTCTAACCGTCATACCGGGAATGTGCCATCAGCATCGCCGTGATCGAAAAGCTGTCGATCGGATAAATCAAAAGGTATACAGAAAGGAAGCTACAAGAACAACGGGTGTTTACTATGGATCCTACACAATATATCGTGTACGCGTGCTTGTGACGTAATTAAAAAAAAAATAATATTACACGTACTAGCGATAAGAGCATGCATGTATCAAGCTACGGGCGATAGGCTCGAGAATAAAAAGCGTTATAAAGAATACGAATTATAATTATAATTACGTCTTGATCAAAATGGCCTGTCCACGATGTATTTACTTTCAATCATAATAAATGGCGCTTCTGTAATATACTCTCTATCACTCTCTATTTAAGAATCGTCCGCTCCACCGTAATTCCTAATCCTTTATGTTATAATATAATGTCTGTAAAATTCATTTATTTATAGATTTGAAGAGAAAGTTCGCACTTGCCTACTTTATCTCAATTTTACATATGTGTTTTTTGTATTATTTTCTCATAATATATATAATGAGATATAAGTTTTATATTATTTATTAGAGCTTTGCGGAAAATCACGTAGGACTTATGATCATATACATCATATACAGTCTTGGCCAAAATTAGGCACTCTTATAATCATTATACCGTACTGAATCTAATACCCAGGAGAGACTTCTATTGTTTAAAAATTATCTACTTAGGCACTCATTATTATGAACGTGTTTATTTTTTATTTCTTTAAAAAATAAATGTTATTTTGAAAAAACTTCATTTTAATAGAGTACCTAATAATTTTGGCTAAGGCTGTAGATATGTTTCCGATCTTTTTATAGAATAAGGATTAAATACGAGATTATATTTCACTATTTCTATCTTAACACAATATTAGGGATTACTGTCCACTAATCTACTGCCTACATCTATATGTTGTATTAAGGTGGAAATGAAAACCTGGCGCATCATCTCGAACGCCAGTAAAATAAATCGATTTAACTATCATAACTTTCTCATCCTCTCTAACCGGACCAACTTCGCAATTTATTTCCAAAGTTTCTTTCATTCCGATTTACGATCACAACGTATTATCGGATCTACTCGATGATAATAAAGAATAACGATATCAATTTAGATCAAAACAGATAAATACAATCGAGAATTGCATCTTAAAGCAGAACAGACATCATGTTATAAAAATCAATGGAATTGAAGGTAGAATTTAAATAAATTTTAAATACGACAGAGAATTATTTCGCCGGCACGCGAAAAATTCTCGAGAAAAATTCGCAGGATATTAAATTCTCACGGGTCACAGGTCAGTTTATATATGTACAAGGAAGGTGAGCTGTATCTGGTTCTTTGTCACGAGAGCTACAATTGATTTGGTTGCCAGCAGAAGTTAAACGGTCCTGTTCACAACAGGGTCAGCATCTTGAGTCACTTTGAGAAAACTGAAACCAAGACGAAAGTGCGTCCTTTCATGCGCGTAATACGCGTTTTTAAAATAGAACAATGGTTATCGCGGAGCAAATTCTTCACCGAGATCGAATTGCTATATAACTTAAAAATCCCTTCCATTATATATGTAGTATACGATTTCTAATATATTATATAATTTTTAAGTTACACGTTACATAAATTGTATTCTTTGCTGTTATATAATTCTGATCTGCGCTCTTCTGCAGTTAATAATAAAAAACTTCAAGCTACAAATGAAAATATAAAAGATTCATATCCGCTTACACTAAATCCGTGCAAAAGGGAATTTATTAGATACAACTGTAATATTTCGAAAAAAATTCAATCTATTCTGCTATCGATCTATCTATTTATTTATATATTTTAAGTTACTACAATATCGCGATTTTGAAAATTTAATATTCAGTAAGATAAAATATATTTTCTGTAAAAAAAAAAAACAGATAATGTTTTCAGCCATGCCATATGCAAAATAATTGTAGTAATATACGGCAGTACTATTATATATGTATATGTATCGTTTTTCGCTTTTAGGATTAATTAGGAAAATAAATAGGAAAATAAAAACAGATTACAATCGATATTTTTAAAATGTTATAACTTAAAAGCAAAATAGAACGTAGAACACAATATTTATTCACAAATAATAACAAACAACTAAAAATATTGAAAAAGGAACAATAAAATTACTGACACGCTGTTATTGATAGAACAATATTCTAGAAATACAAATTTCCGCCAAAAACGCTTTCTCGTTTCTTTTTTAATTTAATATATGAAATAATGTAGAATTTTTTCGGAAAATTAATTATCCCGCATGCTGTGCACGTTTCGCATGTCCTTCAATCAAAGGAAAAACAAATTAAATATCCTTAAAGCGGATTCGTCATCAAGCCCGTTATCAAAGCAAACCGAAAAGAATCGATCTTTCTTTCTGATCACGTGCCAATATTTCTTTCTACCTTCGAGGCTTTAATGGCACATATTGTGCACCTATTCCTGCATCGAATGATTAATGAAGAAACGTTCGAAAGCTGGCCTTTTTAAAACGTGTCGATTCGCGAGAAAAACCTGATAAAAATTATTCGTCATATATGTACTTAAAAATCTTATTCTTTGATTAATTCCAAACAGATTTTATTCACAACAAATCCAGAAATATAATATTACAAAAATTTTCAACATTTAAAAAATCAAAGACGTAACGACTAATGATCTCTATTCGTCAAAAGAATTATTATTAAGTTTAAGATCACCCCCGAGAAATCATCGATCTACTCAATATTGTTTTATAAAATATTAGGACATTCTGTTCCTCCGGCGGGGATTGCAGCTCTTTTTAAAGCGTAAAAAAAAGCCGCGACACCGGAGAACTACCTTCTCCGCTGTGACGAGGGTTACTTTAACAGACACGCACAGGAATGAACGCAAATCAGCCGTCTAATGTCCATCCGTCTGTCTTATCAGTCGCATTTATCTCCCGCGGTCGGGATGCGCGCGGGAGTGGCATTTAACACCGTCGTGGGCGAAATTAGATGGAAATTACGAGGCGTAACGTCGAGTGACAAAAGTACGAGGTCGTCCCTCATTCGGAGAGAATGCAAACGAGGAAGACCGAGGAGATCTATACATCGTAAAAAACAGGTCGTACTTTTCCGTACTGGCGCGCGCGCGCGCGCATGGCGGACGGAAAAACAACAAGCGGGACGATTATTAATGAGCGTGTTAACCCTTCGCCCGTAAACTGGGTCATAAATGGCACAAGCCGAAATTCAAGATAGAATACCGCCGAAATGAAAAGGGGGGGGGGCTTGCCGTCCCTCGTAAAAAAAGTAGGTAGTGGGGAGAACTCATGCCCAAAGTTTCGTTGGAATTCGCCAGTGTGTGCTTGACCAGCAGCGAGTCAAAGTGCGTCCAGTGCCACTATTGACCCAGTTTACGGACAGTGCCAGACTTTCGTGCAAGTAAGTAAAATTAATTTAACGTCATTTTCATATTACTACAGTTATTTTTAACTTATATAAGTGATATTTTTTTATGATTGTGTATATTATATATACCTATAACCTCAAAATTTGAGTGGATGAAAACACGTGTAAAAAGAAATTACATGTACTTTCAGGGTACAATGGATGATCAAGCGACAAATATCAGATATTATTTACGAGAAAGACGATTTTATATGATTTTTTAATAAAATAATGTAAAAATTACGTTAAAAGTCTTATTTCTCCTTAACCCGAAAAAGGCCATTTTCAATCCTCAGAATAATTATACTTTTTAAAAATGACCCATATACAGAATTTTTTTCTTGAAAGTACACATATTTAACTATAAAACCTCGTTGGAATTTTTTATTTTGATTTAAAACTCAATGAGATATGATTTTTTTAATAAAAATGGATTTTTATCAATTTTTTGCATAAAGAATTATTTATAAACAATTTATCTTATAATGAATCGCTAAATAAACTTTGGGATTATAAAATAGGATAGTATACAAGTATTACAGAATTTTTTCAGATTTTTTGAACACTATTTACTAGGTCAAAATAACGACAGGACATTTATGACCCAGATTACGGACGATGCCAGTCAAATTATAGTTTACGGGCGAAGGGTTAAAGCCAACGGCGACCGATATTGCGCGAGAGGCAATAGCCGGTCCCCGTCCTTTGTCGCCGCAGACGGCGACAGAAATTGACCGCTTCTTAATTATTTCTGCTCGCTTTTTCAGCGTCGTGAAAGATGTGAAATAAATTGCGTGCTCCGTAACGAAACGTGCTTCATTTCCCGGCGTTATACAACATTGTGATATTACGGCATAACGCCGCGGCCATTTCAAGTTTATAAAAGAATCTGTACTTGACATATTAACGAAGAGCCGCTCATTATGGAGCGACTTTCGCCCACTCGACGTCTCTTTGCAAGCCCTCCGTAAATAATTTGCAAGACCGATTCATATCTGTATGAATAATGCGGTTACAAAAAAATCAAAATAAAAATAATTATAAATTGTAATCTCCAAAATCATAAATATTTATTGATAACGATAGCGATCTGAATATAACGCATGAAACATTTTCATAAATTTGAGATACCGTGCATCAAACAATGGCTTGACCAATTTTTTTCATTAGATTATTTGATATATTATAATAATTAATATTCTTCTTTTATATATTATACACATCACTTTATAATATATTAAAAAATAAGCCAACAAAGAAATTATTTTAAAAAAATTTTTACATCAAGTTTTTGAGGTACAAAAAAATTAATCATTTTTTCTTTTAATTAATTTTCAGTAAATATTGCATTTATAAAATTTTAAATTGTGCTTTAATTACAAAGATATTTAAAGTTGAAAATTAAAAACTCGCACGATAAAAAATAGCCAAACGATGAAATTGAAAAAAAAAAAAAAAAAAGCTGACCAAAGAATCATGTTACATCATTATTTACTCGACGGCTTTTGTTTACACAGCTATTATCGATGTATTATTACGTGAGGTTCTCTACTTATAACATTCAAGAATGCGGTATTAATTTTCCAAATAATCAGAAATAGAACAAAACACGTAACAATGGCATATCGGATTGTACTCCATAAATGAATTACGCTCAGAAAGCGAACTTTGAATTAATAGTTTGAAATATAGCAACCCCATGTTTATTGTAAGAGAGAATAAATTCCAATTTCATCAGAGAGAATCGTGTTACATCATTTATTCGTACGACATCTCTACGTTCCGCCACCATTATTGTTGCATTACAAATGTGCCACATCGAGACGATGGCAATTGGATTTGTTTTCGGATAACGCGGTTTACAGCTACAAATTATTAATACTTGCACAATATCGAAACGAAA